TATACTGTAAGCCGCCTAGAGTGGACCGTTGGTCCAGATAGGTGGGATAAAAATCAAATAAATAAATAAATAAATAAATGAAGTTCTTGAGGGTCCGACATAATCCCTTTCATAAATGGGAAGCCATGAAAACCACAGGACAAGAGGATGTCTCTAATATTGAACAGTTCCACTGCCAGTGGGTTCAAATCGATTAGGTATGGTCACAAATGAAAAACTGAACCAGGAAGTTGATGAATCAGGAAGCCGCCTAGAGTGGTCTGGTAGTCCAGATAGGCGGGGTATAAAATAAATAAATAAATAAATAAATGAAGTTCTTGAGGGTCCGACATAATCCCTTTCATAAATGGGAAGCCATGAAAGCCACAGGACAAGAGGATGTTTCCAATATTGAACAGTTCCACTGCCAGTAAAATCATCTGGGTGGCATTGAATTCCAGTAATTAAAGACCTCCTGCTCCTGTTCTGTGACTACTAAGGCTTCCTGACAATGAAAGGGATTACATGGGCGTCTTGGGACAGAAGTCAGAAATGTATTAATTTACAAAAAGTGTCACTGCTCCTTATATCATTAGCCTTATATGTTGCATAAGTTACTCCAGCAGGATTTCAGCTTTTGCCTTTTAAAAATCTGCACACATTTTTATTAGCACCTTTAAAAAAGAAATCAGTATATTGTTTGATTAATTCCTACTTTTAACCTTGTAAGCTGCCTAAAGTCATAAATCTGGTTCAACAGTAGGGTATAATTCAAATAAATAAGTTGTCTTGTTTTTATTCTTCGCTGTTGATTTTAGCAGGCAACAAAATTAAGATAAAAGAATATTATTGCAGTTTGTTTTGTCATACATACAGATACCACACTAACCAGTTCTACATAATATGACCTTGAGTCCCCAGATGTTTGTGGACTGAAACTCCCAGAAATCCTGGCCAGCAGAGATGGTGGTGAAGGTTTCTGGGTGATTTAGTCCAAGAACATCTGGGGGAATCCAAGGTTGGGAACCACTAATGTCTATAAAGACATATATGTACATGCTTGTGTTCTATACTGCCGAGAAATCTTTTAATTTTTGGGTGATCTACAAAGTACAATGCATAAATAGATATACCTTCTCACACTCTGCAACAGCGCTGTTCACTTGGAAAAACTGGTACTGGGTAAGTCCATCCAGTGGTTTATTTACAAGCTCTTATTATTTGACCTATTTTCCCTTCAGCAAACTGGCACAAGCAAAGATTTCTGCCAGTTCTGATTAGGTCTCAGAAGGACAAGACCATCCATCTCAGAGCTTAATAATAATAGCAATAATCATGGGCAATCAAGTCAATTCTGGCAATCCTTTTTCATGGTTTTCAAGACAGACAATATTCAGAAGTGGTTTATCATTCCCCTCTTCTGGAGGTGTCCTGGGACAGTGCAGGCCACACAGGCTGGCTATTCACCTAGGAAGCACAGTGACAGTGCAGGCCACACAGGCTGGCTATTCTTCACCTAGGAAGCACAGAGGCCAATCAAACTTCTTTAGGAAAGTTATATTTCTGGACTACAACTCCCAGAATACCCCAGCTAACAGAGCCAGAGGTATGGCTCACCCCCATACCTTCCCACGTCAACAGCCACGGATTGTTGTTTAATTACTTACTTATCAGAAGCATGCAGTTGCCCAATTAACAAAAGCTCTCAAGACAGGTGACAAAGCTTTAAACAGCCCACACAATGATAAGAATGACAAAACCAATGAGAAAGACAATTAAAAAAAATATTGGAAAGTTTAAAAGCCAGCAATAACACTGAGAATAAAAACAAGTTAAAGATTAGATGCCTGATAGGAGAAAGGTCTTAAGCCCAACGTCTAAATTCAGGATGGAAAAGTGCCTCCCCTCCAGATGGTCTTGTACCACAACTTCCATGATCCCCTGCCACTTGCCATACTAGATCTGATGAGAGTAACAGCCCAAAAACATCTGTGCTTTATGCATTCCTGAGGTCAACAAATATAAGGCTTATGCCAAGTGGACCTCTATGGGGAGGGCATTCTGCAGACTATGGAGGCTGCCACGGAGAAGACCTAGGAACCATCGGTGGCACCATCATGGGTGACTCCATCTAGAGAAGAGTCTCCCGCCCGAGATTCGCCTGTCCCCTTTACTGAGCTCCTTTAAGCAACTTTTGAAAGCCTGGCAATTTAAACAGGCACTTCCAGATGTAACATCAACACAACGCAAAGCTCTTTTCAGCCCTTGAACTACCAATTGCACCATCTTGAATGTTTTTTAATTACCTGTGTCTCATCTTGTATTTTTTTCTTTCTTCTAAGTTTAATTATTTAGCGTACAGTACGTTGATTTTCATTTTCATACTATTGTGAGGTTTATGTGCTTGTTCTTTTATGTTGGTTTTAGTGCTTTATTTTGTTGTAAACCTCCCAGAGTGGCCTGGGCAGACAGATGGGCAGTACAGTATACATATTCATTCATTCATTCATTCATTCAAATTTGATATGGCCAGTTCCATAAACCACCTCAGTGGTCTACTCTCTAAAAGACTCAGAGAAAAACAACAACACAAAAACAGTACATTCACGGATGGTGCAGTTGGTTTGTGATCACCTGCTGAGAGCTTTGCCATAAGAACATAAAAACACAAGAAAAGTAAGGCTGGGTCAGAACAAAGGCTTTTTAAGCCCAGCATCCTGCTTCGGTGGCCAAGCGAAGCCCACAGGAAATCCACCAGTGGAATGTAGGAGCAACAATGCCTTCCGACTTAAGTGGGTTGGCTCAATGATTTAGGTATCTAGCTATGGAGCCAGAAATAGAAAGTTGGAATCCCAACTTAGACAACGGCTGGACTTGATGATCTACAGAGTCCCTTCCAGCTCTGCCATTCTGACAATCTAAGATCCAGAAACTGGCACTGGGTAACTGCTGGAAATAATATATGTACACCCACTATAACTAGTATCCACCAAAAGCCATATCTACCATGAAGGGTAAGAAGCGGTGTCAGTCCCTAGCACCTCCCAAACATCTTTGCCAAAACCACAGGGGAGCCCAACCCGGAAGCGGTGTCAGTCCCTAGCACCTCCCAAGCATCTTTACCAAGTTGGCATCTTGGCTAAGCTGCCCAAAACCACAGGGGAGCCCAACCCAACCTGCTAAGGATGCCAGTCATTTTGCTACTAATTCACCTGTTCTCTCTAAGCTTGCAAATAACAAGAGATCCAGGTAAGATGTGCGGATCAGGCTCAGAGGAAGAAGGCAGACAAAGTGACAGAGATGCCAAGATCAAAGATAAGGTAGACCCCCAAGGACTGAACGTCTAACATTTGGAGCTGGGATCTACAACACCCTAAGCCAGGCACTGCAGGGAACTCACCTAGCTTTCACAAACTTTCTCCAATTTTTCTGCTAGAGGAATCCGCAAAGTGCACCTCCAGAGCCATTTCTATGGCCCTCGGTTTGATCTGCTGGGAAACACGATCCGCAAAACAGTGCCATTTTTCACGCCGAGAAGCATCCAAGTAGAGGTGGTTTGCAAAAAAAAAAGGGTCACAGCCCTTCAAGCCACAACAAAACCCCAAAACCCACAAAAACAGACTTCCAGCAACATTCACTTTTGGTTTCCCATTACTGTTGCTCATTTTCAGGGCTGGTGGGTCCTCCTAGAGGTGGAAAAGTGGCCCCCAGACCTGCAAAGCTACCTAGCCTGGTTGTGTTGGACGGAAGTCAATGTCTCCCTTTTCTTCATACAACAACACAGCCCATACGACCAAGACAAAAATACAAGGCCTTTCCATGAAATCCTCAGCAACAATTGACTTCCCCTACCTCCCAATGCATTAAATCCTTAGTGCAGGAACTGGAGGGAGGAGGAGCATTTTACAACATTTCAGCAAGACACTCAGGGTCAACCTCAGGCAAGTGTCCCACTTGATCTCTGAACATTTCCCAGGGCTCCAAAATACAAGTAAAGAACTATAATAGAACAAAACCGTATCTTCCACATCTCACCAAGACACCCCTTCGAAACAAAAATACACAAAAACAAACACACCTCTTTCATTTTAATGTTTTCATGACAACTTCCACTCACTGGCTGAAATCCCATTGTTCAGCATTATTATTTTACTACTTTTTTAATGGTCTGATTTTTCAACAAATTCTAGTGGCAGTGAAACTGTAACTCTTTTGAAGCAGTTACAAAAATCTATAAATCAAGCAGGCAGGCAACCAGGCAGGGATTAACAAGCTGCCATTTGCATCCCTGGTCACACAACAACTCACATGACTAGCACGTGACCAGGAATATGAGTGGCAATTTGCTAATTAGTGACTATTTGCTGCAAACATTTATGCAATTAAGAATTTGCTAATTAGTGACTATTTGCTGCAACCATTTATGCAATTCACACCAGCATAAATCCCCAAAATGATTCTGGCCATGAAGTTCCACAAGGCTGTAATCTTACATTGCCTAGTCTACACATAGCCTGCACTGAATTCAATGGTTCTTACTTTGGAGTAGATATCTATGGAATTGCTTTGTTAGAAGTTCTCAAAATCCTTCAAATAGGGAGTACCAAGCATCAACCTCTATTGAAAGAACTCTAAAACCCACTATGGCTGCAATTCTATACTTGTTGGTCAGGAACAAGGCTTATTTCTATGGAACAGTGCACAGAATCAAACTTCTATTGATCCCCTCCTTCAGTCCCTAGCATCTCTGATAATGCGGCTTTAACATGCCAGTGAAGTCTTTAGAATGCATGTAAAAATCAGATATCTTTGTCCCTCTTCATAGCATAGTGGCTAGATTGTCAGACTAGGACTCAGATTCAAACTCCCACATGGCCTTGAAATTTGAAATATCATACATACTTCAAAAATTCTATAAGGTGGACTGTACAAAGGTCATTAGAGCAACTTAGAGGCGCGTAACATGAAAATGTTTCCTACATAAATACATTTCTTTCTACTCCAACTGTAGCTAAACTTACCTGAGATTAAATCCTACTAACACCAACAGAATTTACTTCCAAGTAAACAGCACAGGAACACAGCTGCTTTCTGCAGAAGGAGAAAAGGAAACATGGAAAAATGGGATTTAAAACTGTGCAGGCAGGTGGGTATTCTTTCACATTGCTTAGAAACTGAATGTTAGCTTCCAGGAAACCAATAGACATATATTTATCTGGGCAGGGGGAGACTATGACTTAATGATGAGTTCTGTAAATCATTACTTCTCCCTCCTAGTTCAGCCCTGTAGAGCTATATCTCTCAACATTGAAAACAAAAGATCCTAAGAAATACCTTATTTACAACACACAGCTTTTCTAGTCCCTCAACAGCAGTCCACACAGAGTTTATACCTAAATGACACATATTAGGGTACATGTATGTCTTCTCCCACATAACAGAATAGTTCAGATTCAGATCCTGTGTCCAAAAAGCATAACAAGGAATAACAAAGAACTCAGTTTATTACAAACTACAAGTACAGTCGCTCCTCTGCCCTTTCCTCTCACTGCCTACTGGTCTAGAAGCCAGTGAAACTGACAAGATCTGGGGAAACCTTCTCAATAACAACACCAGCAAGGGTGCGTCTAGATTAAGAAGAGCTGCAGGAAAGACGTGCAAAGGTACACCCCCAGACATTTCAGCATCAGTGATACAGGAATGACTTTTCCTCTGACCTTGTCAGTATCAAAGAACAGAGAAGGGGGAAAGAGGTAAGATATTTGCCCTGGTAACATTAAGAGATTCTTTTACACCTTCAACCCCCACCTCTTTCCTTAAGAAAACAGCCATTGCCAGGTGTTTAAAAAACTATGAAAAACAGATGGAAAGATGAGCAAGGGGGATGAACCGTCTCTGATCCCACGTCAGCCACACAAAACCACAGGAAGGTTGGAAATGAACTGCAGCTCCACTTCCTACCTTCAAGACCCAACCAAAACAGACTTAAAGCGGCTTTTTCCACCATTCACGTGTGCACGCATTCAATGAAAGACCCTCCAACCTGCTTTTAAGGGATGCATGCAGAATATAGTGTAGTGTCATCCTCCCCTCCCCGTCCAAGAAACCACGTGTGGCAACACGGCCCTCCCCTAAGCACACTCGATGTACACACATGCATCCGTCCCTCTTCCTTGTCGTACACGGTTTGCACAGATTAACCTGACAGACCCCCCCCCTCACCGTGCCCAACACGCACACAATGCCAGTGCAATGCAGAGGAACCAGCAATTCAGCACCTCTATCGCTCCCATTGCCCACGGCAACACCAACAAATCTACACAACTCGTTTTCTCCTCTCCAAGATCCACATCCAGGTCTGTTTCTTTCCACCCCCACCCACAACACCCAGTATTTCCCAAGCACACAGGTATCCACCTCTTTTCCATCACCAAGGGCCTGGGCAAAATAAATAAATAAATCCCACAACCCATCCAAAAAAGTGATTTGCATCGTGGGTGCATTTTTCTTCCTCTAAGGAGATGAGTAAGGAGAATTACAAGGATTACCTAGATACCTGGTCATTTCTATGGCCCAGTTATATTAGTCTACCTCTGTATTTTTTTTTTCCAAAAAGGGAGGTTTGAGCCCTGCGGTGCTTGCAAAGCTGGCAAACCCACCTCTCCAGATGCTTGAAGAGCAAAAAGGGTTTGAAGACTGCACCCCATGCATCTGAATATACATAGATATAGATATATATATATATACACACAGAGAGATACAGACATATAGATATATGTAGATATATACATAAAACACACACATATGTATGCATGTGTGTTTATATATGTGTGTGTGCATAAATCTGTGTGTATATAGGTATATGCCTACGTGTATGTATGTATGATTTTGCAATCCAGGGACGCTGGTGCCAGAACAGATCTGCTAGTCCTGAAATGTGCCCCAAGCCCCCTCCCACGTCTCCCTCTTGTTTTTAATAAATATTCTTCATTTAGGAGGATTGCACCGAAGAGGTTTGGCCTCCCACGTCCCTTTCTCTCTCTTCCCTTCCCGGCTTGAAGGGCTGCCCAAGAGGGATCGAGTCCCCACCCCCGCTCCCACCCCCTTGCCTTTAAAAAAAATACAAAAATAAATAAAAATTAAAAAATATACAAATAAAATCAAGAGAGAAAATCCTGGTGGAGAGCAAGGAGGCAAAGGCTCTGTTTAGTGTGGGAATGGTGTGGGGGGAGGCAGAGAAGGGGAGCCATCCCTGCACAGGGCCTGCATCCTGCAAAAGGGGGGGGGGAGAGCCATCCCATAATAACCCTCTGCTGCTGCTGCTTCTCTCTCTCTCTCTCCCCTCCCCACCCCCCGCCCTCGTGCTTGTAAAGGAAAGGGGGGGCTCTGAAACAACCCCCCCGGGCTCTTACCTGAGGGTCCCGATCCCACCTCGAAGGAGCCGCTCCTTCCTTCCTTCCTTCCCCCTCCCGTGCCCCCCCTCCCCTCTCCCAGGGAGAGAGAGAGAGAGAACAAGGCAGCCGAGCATGGACGGTGCAACCTAACCTCCCTCCGGCGCCCACCAAGCCACGCCCACACGCTCGCTCCGCTCCGCGGCCAAAGAGCCCTACGGCGGTCTGAGGAAGGGCCTCCGCATGAGGCCAGGGGGCGGGACCAGGCAGCAAGTTCGGTTGACAGAACCTTCCAGGAAGTCTCGCTCGCCGCAGCAGAGCTTGAGGCGGGCGGGCGAGTGGGCGGGGGGAGGGGGAAGGCAGAAGGGAAGCGAGACTCCGGGGGGCCTCGCCCAGTCGAGGCTGTCTATACAGATGCCTGATGATATTTTTTTTATTCCCCCCCCACGACGGGTGCGCTAAAATAGTAAACATTGGAACATGCCTTTTAAAACCAAAGAAGCACGATTTCCCCACTTAGACTTAGGGGTGATGGCTAGCGGGCTCCCCGAATTTTTGTCACGACCCATTTGTGAGGAATCAGGCAGTACGTTCGCCACCGATGTGAGGAAGCCATTTTGGGCTGGCTCAGAAAGTATGTAACAGATGGGGAGGTTATGGGGGTTTTTTAGGGACTACAACTCCCAGAATTCCTTAGGGACTATAATGTAGCTATGGCCCACAAACACAAATCTCCCCACTTCTAATATAGGGAACACAACTGGCTTGTAAAAAATTATGGAGGGTCAACTACGATCCACCCAGAAAAGTGGTTCCCAGCCTTGGGTAACCCAGGTGTTCTTGGACTGCAATTCCCAGAATCTTTCATCACCAGCCAGCCAGCCAGCACAGCTGGTGGGTGAAGGCTTCTGGGAATTGCAGTCCAAGAACGCCTGGGGTGACCTAGAACACTGGTTCTTAACCTTGGGTTACTCAGGAGTTTTGGACTGCAACTCCCAGAAGCCTTCACCACCAACTGTGCTGGCTGGGGTTTCTGGGAGTTGCAGTTCAAAAGCATCTGAGTAACAAAGGTTAAGAACCACTGACCTAGAATGTTGCAGAGACAGCAGATTACATATCATTAGGTACAAGCGTTGATCCATTTGCTAATAAGCGCCCCACCATCTATGATGCCCTCTGATTTGACCTTCAAAGCAAGACCCTTTCATTCCCCTTTCACAGATGGGGAAAACTGAGCTCAGGAACTGAACATTTACATCAGTGTGACCTAGTTTTCCAGTGGCAGGACTGCTTGCTAACAATAGATGTACTTTCTAAAAGGGTAAAAGCTGACATGAGATAGTGTGGTGTAGTGGACAGAATGACAGACTATGACTCTGGAGATCTAGGGTTCAAATCCCCACTTCGCCATGAAACTCACTGGGGAGTTTCTTACTTACCTTGCAAGCCCCATTAGAGTCGCTGAAAGCTCTTTTCCCTGAACATTTACATCAGTGTGACCTAGTTTTCCAGTGGCAGGACTGCTTACTAACAATAGATGTACTTTTTAAAAGGGTAAAAGCTGACTTGAGATATTGTGGTGTGTAGTGGACAGAATGACAGATGAAGACTCTGGAGATCTAGGGTTCGAATCCCCACTTGGCCATGAAACGTACTGGGGAGTTTCTTACTTACCTTGCAAGCCCTATTAGAGTCGCTGAAAGCTCTTTTCCATCACTGTAAGTCAGTTCTGACTTGACAGCACATAACTAAAAGCTCACAAAATGGTTGGTCAATGAAATGTGTCCATGCTTCATAAAGTAATTGAAGGTTGTTGTGGGTTTTTCAGGCTCTTTGGCCATGTTCTGTAGTTGGCTTTGGGTGTGCAGTATAATACTACACCAGAGCACAGAGTGCTGTCCTCTGAAGATGCCGGCCACAGAGACTGCCGAAAGGTTAGGAAGAACAACCTTCAGAACACAGCCAAAGAGCCCGAAAAACCCACAACCACCATTAGATCCCGGCCATGAAAGCTTTCGCGAATATAAAGTAATTGAAGCTTTACACCTCCCAGTGCTGGCGGCCTTCAAGAGAAAACTGGATAACCATCTATCAGATATGCTTTGATCTGGATTGCTGTATTGAGCAGAAGAAATCCATCTATCAGATCTGCTTTGATCTGGATTGCTATACAGGTATTGAGCAGGAGAAATCTCCCTGCAAAAGACCCTGATGTTGGGAAAGTGTGAAGGCAAGAGGAGAAAGGGGACGACAGAGGATGAGATGGTTGGACAGTGTCATCAAAGCAACCAACATGAATTTGACCAAACACCGGAAGGCAGTGGAAGACAGGAGGGCCTGACATGCTCTGGTCCATGGGGTCATGAAGAGTCGGACACGACTTAACAACTAAACAGCAATTGAGCAGGAACACTGAGACTCAATGGCCTTATAGACCCCCTTCCAATTCAATGATTCTGTGATTCTATAGGACTTGACCTGATGATCCCCAAATTTAAAACTCTGCTGGCTCTATTTGTATGTTTGACCAGTGACAATGATCTCCCTCCATACATGGCCAAAATGCATTATGTATCAGACTTAATGTAACTAGCATGCTTTATTATTTTTGGAGGGATTTGTAACCTGGATAGATCAAATTTAATTACTTTCACTTCTACATTAGTTTACAGATGGTGGGAAGGGATTGTGTGTGAAGGTAAAACAGAGACCGCTGCCTCATACTCATCAATCCATCATATAATTATGAGGGAAACCGATAGCACTGTGTCGTTTTCATAGAGTACTTCCCTGGCAATATCATAAATCTGGTATTCCTAGAAAGAGCTCCTCACTTCTTTTAAGTATCCATATTTTCACACTATAGCATTTGCTGATGTATGTCCAGTTTTCCCTTCTAGTTGAAACTCAAATAATACTTACTGGGGAACCAAAAGAATGCAGCAAAACTCAGGACTGTGAAACAAGCGAACATCCACTATAAACCGAATACCAAAATACTGTACCTGGTTTCATTCTTTGGGCAAACATTATTATCAGACACTTCACTTAAAAGGGTGAAAGAACATTAGAGCTGGTTATGTATGAAATGCTGAATATTATTATGTATCATATGTAATTATGTGTCCTTCCTTCCTTATTAAATAGGAATTTGAACAGATCAAAACTTCTTTGACAAGATGGCAAGAATGGAAATCTTCCAGTCTTGAACTGGACGCAAGTGGTTTAAAAAAAACATAAAGATCTCTGTTTTTTTTTTCCCAATGCAAAACACAAAAACCTCAGGTAGCAGTCGCCAGGGATAAGACTTTGTTTTTTTGTTTTATTTTCCTGGACTCCAGCTTCCCGAATTCTCCAGAAATTCCCCGAGCATAATTCTGAAAGTGAGCCCAGAAACACAACTCTATACACAAGCTGTATTCACTTCCAGTGGTGCCTTTCTTGGCCTGTTTCTACTTTGTAAACCTAAAAAGCTGCTCAGGTGCTACCTGGGACGTGTACATCTTCATGGGAGGTACAGTTCTTTGGGAGGCGCCTGCTAGAGAGCCTAATAGCCAGTGAGACTACACCTCCCAGGTAGCATGGGACAGCTTCCTCTTTGTACAGGCCCGAGACAAGCAAGCGGTCTTGAAGACATGCCCTGTCACTGGCGAGGCAGGCAGGCTCCTCTGAATAATCTAATGGCCACATTTATCATCCCTTGTCCCCAAAACGTTCTGCCATAACAGATTGTGGGATCGAGACCCGTCATATATTCTCTCCTTTCTTCCCCTCTCACGATAAAGACACACCAGAGAAATTTGAACATAGAAACATTTAGTATGAAGGAAAACAACACCGAGTAGTTTAAAATGTAAGGTTAGGGTAAGATGGTTGAGACGATCCTCAGGTTTTCAAGAACATGGAAAGTTTCCAAGATTGGAAAAGGAAGGAAAACAGTTGAAATGAGGCACAGGCGGAGGGGAGCACACTTTCCCACGAGGAACGTTAATGGGCAAAGATATCGCCTAGGGAGAACCTGAAGATGTTGCTGAAATTCTTGGGCAGGGACTAAGTGCAGGATGGTCCCTATCCTCCGGCCGGAGGGCAGAAGTGCGATGGGAAGGGTGGGTTGGAATATTCCTTCCTGCCAGGATGGTGCCTTCAACCAAATGAAAGAAAAAGAGAACGGGCGCCCTTTGCTTGTTTGCTAGCCGCAAGGCGGGTTGGCTCGATTTGGGGGGAATTTAGCAGCAGCCTGAGCGGTCTCCAGCGCCTTGAGATTTCTGGCGGACAGCAGATTGGGAACGTACCACAGAGGGCGGCGGGGGGCCAATCTTGATGCCGTTTCCCTACAAGGGGAGGAATAAAAAGCCTTCAGTAAAACATATATTTTTTGTCTTGATGGTTGGAATGATATCATCTGGGAAGCCCACAGAAGACAGGTCACTGCAATGGCTAAGCTTTCGTCCTAACGCTGAACATTTTGGGAGCCCTTGGGAGGGAGAGATACCAAAGGTGGGAAAAATTCCTTTTCGGGAAGACAGTTCCCAGCAGAGCCCAGCCGGTAGATGTGCTGGCGGCATTATTCTGTGAAATGTAATCCAGAAAAGGACATTTTTCCCAAGGTCTGAATATCAGTCTGACCGGGACTTTGATCCTTGATCTCCTCTTAAGAAAACTGACATCTAGAATGGTCATACCTAGACTTTAAGATGAGACACAGTGGGCACCAGACTCTGGAACTCCCTCCCACTGGAGGCCAAGCTGGCCTCATATATGCTCTCCTTCTGCAAGCAAGCAAAGATCTTTCTCTTCAGGCAGGCTTTCCCTGAGTGACTGGCAGTCGGGGAGGGGTTTTTTTAAATGGAGATGTTGTGTTCTCTTGTATTTAAATGTGTTTTTAGTATTGATTTTATTGACTGTTTTTAACAGAGTACTTGTTTGATTCTTTTTCTGTTATTTGTATGCTAACTGTTTTTAGTTGTGAAATATTGTCTTTTAATTGCTGCAAGCTGCCTTGGGTCCTTTGAAGGAGAAAAAGGCAGGGTAAAAATATTTTATATGAATAAATAAAATAATAAATAAAATTCCATCCCAAAAATGTACCCCTGGAGGACTGGAGAAAAAAAAAGGCAAGGCAGGACAACAATGCTATCATGAAAATACTGATTGTGTCTGAAACTATGCAAAGTCAGATCCAATTAATATGTTATCTAAGTAATTTTTTCGTCATGATCATCATCTTAGAACTGCAGAACCAAAAGGATCCCTATGGATCGTTGAGCTGTCAGGAAAGGCCCAGTGGAGGAATCGAACTCACAACCTCTGGCTCCGCAGCCAGAGATCTAAACCACAAAGTTATCTAACTGTTTTCAAACCCCTCTGGGTTCCTTATACACGAGGCTTGGCTTTCCTACCACCGTCTCCCCTTCTGCCCTGCCCCACCAGCACATTTCTGTGGTTGGGTTTGACGGTGATCCAAAGAAGCCTTCGGTCTGGCTCACCTCTTTGGTGACGTCAAGCTGGCCCTGCTCGATTTTTCGGTAGATCTCTCTAGCCGTGCTGAGAAAGGCCTGGGGGAAAAAAAAGCAGACAGGGAGTCAAGGACAGTCACGAAGGCGAGTTCTCTTCCTGGGTATCGGCAGGGACGATGAGATGAAAGGCTCTGACTCTGGAGGAGGAAATGGATGCTTGTAATCCACAAGGGTGACCCTCTTTGAGGATACTCTGTTCCATCATTCTTCCCCCCCTTCTCATTGTTCCCTCACAGCATCCTGGAAGATGCACAACATTCTCCTGGGGCTGAGCATGCTCAGTCCGCATTAGGCTGGTTTGTGGTTTTGGCAGGGTGACCTCTTAGGGTCCCTTCTCTCCCAGGTTTTGGTGTTTCTGCAAATGTTCCCCTTGAGCCTGCCAAGCCAAGCAAAAATGTCCAGCTTATAAACCACCTCATAGCGCTTAAAGCACTCCCTGGCAGTTTCTACTATTGAAATGTGCAGGCTACACATTGCGGCCCCCACCCTCAGCAAGCGGGGTACTCAATTTACAGACCTTGGAAAGATAAGAAGGCTGAGCGAACCTTGAGCTGGCTACATGGGATTGACCCCATGTTGTGCGTGGAGTTTTGGCTGCCATGCTGCAGTTTAACCACTGCATCGCAAGGCTCCTCTAATACAGTGGTGCCTCGCTTAATGACCATAATCCATTCCAGCAATTGCGATCGCAAAAACATCATCGTAAAGCGGATTCATCGTAATGTGGGGTAATCGTTAAGCGGGGCACGACTGTACCTCCCCCCCCAGAGAGGTCTCTCCCCTGTGAGAGGTGCAGTTTCAGTTGCATATAGATTGGCACTCCCACCTGCCGCACCAATTTGAGAAAATGACGGAGGAAAGAAAAATGAAAGAAGCTCAAAGTGTCCAAGACTAACATTTGGCTCCATGGCAGATCACTGCTGGTTAGTTAGGGGGTTCCCAGTGTGGTGTAATGGATAGAATGATGGTGTGATGGCGAACCTATGGCACACGTGCCACAGCTGGCACACAAAGCCCTTTCTTCTGGCATGCGACAAACCTTTTGAAGTGGCTGCAGCTGGGATTCCCCCTTTCTCTTCCTGTTCTGGGTCCTTTAACTTCCTGTCCGTCCCCATGATTCCCGCTTTAACTTCCTGTTCATCCCCATGATTCCCCCTGAAACTGCCATTTCCTGTTCCAATTCTGGTCTTCCGGGCAGCACGGCAGCCACTGGTTTCTTCCCCACCCCCTCATTTTGGGCACTCGAGCTGAAAAAGGTTTGCCTCCACTGGTCTAGGACTTTGGAAGGCAGGGTTCAAATCCCCACTTGGCCATGGAAACTCTCCACTGGGAGAGTAGAACTGGTAAAACCACTCCTTAAATATCTCACCTTGAAAGCTCTACTAGGGTTGCCATAAGTCCGTTCTGACTTGACAGCATAGAACCCACACGCAGTCAGTATGGGAAGATGAGATTCAGCATCACAGAACCCCCTCTTATCTAAGTACTCCTGGAGTACTTTTGAAAACACCCTTTTGCTAGCTGCTTCCTCGGGACAGAGAAATTCACCTTAAAGCAACAAGGAGTCAAAGCTTTTGCAACCTGGACAATAACACAGCTCTTTCTCCACTCCCTAACCCACCTGGAAGGTGTTCTACAATGTGGAACACCATGATGTTGTAACAGACAGTCAATGAAATGTTGAACATTTTTGCTGTGGATGATGATATGTGCCATCAAGCTATTTCTGACTTATGGCAACCTTGATATGGTTTTCAAGAGATATGAGGTGTTCAAGAAAGATTCTACAGTAGGACCACCTTATCCACAGGATCAGTATCCACTGATCCACTTATCTATGGTCTGAAAAGATTAAAAACGTTAAAAGAAAAATCCCAGAAATACTGTATAAACTTCTACAATGTTATGACTAGAAGCAGCCACTAGAGGGCACAAGATACCACTCTATATACTGCATTTGCTATTAAAATAGTGTTCGCTACCTCAACATTTTTCATCATCCTCAGGGGGGCTTAGAACCAATCCCCCGTGGATATGGGTGTCCCACCGTACTTAAATCCAAGCCTACTGATCCCTAGTCCAATGTGTGATCCACCCACACCATCCTGCCTCCCAATTTTATTTTTACATAGTTGAAAATCTGAATGTAACAATTGGAGAAATGGGTTAAATCCAGAGTTTTGTGTCTCAGGACAATACCATGAACACAGTTACTCTCTCAGGCATAGTACCGGTACAGACTTTAGCATTCACAGGTTTTATGTACATTTCTGGCCCTGAAGCTAATATCCCGTTTCCCCCAAAATAAGACCTAACCTGAAAATAAGCCCTAGTGGGATTTTTTAGGGTGCTCGTAATCTAAGCCCTACCCCAAAAATAAGCCCTAGTTAAGTGAAAGTCCGCCCTCCACCCTTGTGCAGCCACCAGAAGAAGATGACATGACTGTAAAATAAAATATCCCCTGAAAATAAGCACTTGTGCGGGTTTTTTGGAGCAAAAATTAATATAAGACCCTGTCTTATTTTCGGGGAAACACGGTATGACCAGCTCAATATGGCACAAACAATGCCCGGCCAACGTATCGTGACTTCCGGGCACAGAACAGAGACGTCTCCTTGTTGGACAACGACGTACAGGGCTTCCAGTACAATTCTCAGAGTTTCCAGACAAGAAAGGGATGTTTCCCAAGAAGATTGACTTCAGCCTCTTGATCTCTCCTCGCCTTACCCACCCACTCACCTGGCTGACAGAAGCAAAATGGCATGGGCAAGTATTCGCTGGTGTCCTTGCTTTCCAGAAGAAGACTAGAGGCGAGTGAATACTCACTTCTTCCACGTTGGCCGCTGTCTTGGCTGAGGTCTCTAAGAAAACCATCCCATGCTCTCGGGCGAAAGCCTCCCCTTCTTCCTTCTGTACGGCTCGCCGGCTCTCCATGTCACTTGGAGGGAAATTGGCAAAGAGGACCAGTAAGAAAGGGCTGGAGCCACAGGAAGGAAACAGGCAGACGTGCATGCAAACAAGTGGGCACAATTTGATGCTGATTCTAGAAGCGCTAAGGTAGAGATGGGCAACTTTGGGGATCTCGAGAGGGAAGGGAAGGCAAGCTTCATTTCTTATGAGACATCACAGGTACAACAGTCTGCTATTAACCTATGGAAATCAAAGTACCTTTTATTGCCAATCAGCATGATGACCATGTGGGGGCTGGTATGCTGCTGAGCATCTGCAAGCCAGGAGTACAAGTGGTTAAAAGTTTCCCTCCTGTACAGGGTGAGAGAGAAATATCAAGTTCTTGAAGGTGGGCAGGGGGACACAGGAGCTGAGAGGAAAACTTCTGTTTAGAGATAGTTCCCTTCAACCAGGCACCCCCCCCCCCGGAATGCATGTTCTAACCGAAGAATGTAATGTGTCCTTCCAAAATGTAGCCACAGAGTCTGTAATCTGGGAAAAGCAAGTCTGATGGCTCAGAAAGAAAGACATCCTCAAACCTTGTGAAGATCCCTTACCCATTTACTGTATCTTTCTGTGTATAAGACTATACTTTTGTAGTCTTATACATGGAAGTAAGCTGAGGAGAGAACAAAACAAAAACAAGTGGAAGGGAAAGCAGGGATCAAAGCCCTGCAGGGCTTTGATCCCTTTCCCCCTACACTTGCTAAGCCCCACTTATTTTTCTTAATTTTGGATTAGAAAGGTGGTGGCATCTTATACATGGGGGCATCTTATACACAGAAATATATGGTATTTATTTAAAATATTTTACCCCCCCATCTTCAACAATAAGAATACATAGCATGGTCCCTTCCTCTCTCTAGTGGCCAGCTTGGGTAAATACATCATGAAAATAGGCTTTTCTTGTTTTTTTCCCCCCTTTTAACATTTTCAGATGACAGATAAGTAAAATCCATTATACTGATCCTGCAAATCGGAAGGTTCCACTGTAGTTTCTGGAACCTCCCTCCAATTTTTTGAACCTTCTGAGGATTCACTATAATAAATCTCATTTATAAAAAAAAGATCATTTAAGAAGTCACAATCGTTGACAACCTGATGATATAAAAGCTAAGATTTCTTGGGATTCTGAAAGCATTTCCCTGATTTTTGTGTCTTCCCTCTCCCAACCCTGTTGAACTTGATGCCGTGCTTTCTCTACCAGGTTGATGGGCCTCACCGGGTGATGTCGTAGACCAGCAGGGCGCCGGCGGCCCCCCTGTAGTAGGAGCGCGTGATGGAGCGGAAGGATTCCTGGCCAGCCTATAGGGTGGAAGAGAACCAATCAGGGACCTGATAGCACCATACCTCCAGCCCAAAATATCATGCCACTACCCTCACTCCCTATTGCCTTTCTTAACATCCTAGAAGAATCGTGCAGGACCACGTGGGAGCTTCTCATCAGGAAGTGATGCCGTCCTGCTGCTCTGTCTACGTCCTGTTCCCCCAAGCAGGGAGCATTTCATTTAAAAAAGGCATGTCATTTAAGAAGGATGCCAACAAACTGGAGCAAGTTCAGAGAGGGGCAACAAGGAGGATCAGGGGACTGGGAACCAAGCCCTACGAGGAAAGACTGAAAGATCTAGGCTTGAGAAAAGAAGACTGAAGGGATATAGGATAGCACTTTTCAAATACTTGAAAGGCAATCACACAGAGGGGCAGGATATGTTCTCCATCATCCCAGAGTGTGGGGCACATAATAATGGGCTCAAATGATAGGAAGCCAGATTGAGACTGAAGATCAGGAAAAACCTCTTAACTGTTAGAGCAGTACAACAAGTGAACTCATGGCCTCAGGAGGTGGTGAGCACTCTGATGCTGGAGGGTTTCATGAGAAAATTGGACAACCCTCTGGCAGACCTGCTTTGACAGACCTGCCTTGAGCAGAGAGTTGGACTTCATGGCCTTATAAGCCCCTTCCAACTCCATGATTCTACTATTCTATTATGTGGTGGCGCTGCAGGCTAAACCGCAGAAGCCTGTGCTGCAGGGTCAGAAAACCAGCAGTCGTAAGATCGAATCCACGCAACCGAGTGAGCCCCCATTGCTTTGTCCCAGCTCCCGCCAACCTAGCAGTTCGAAAGCATGTAAATTCTAGTAGATAAATAGGTACCATCTCGGTGGGAAGGTAAAACGGCGCTCCCTAGTCACGCTGGCCACGTGACAACGGAAACTGTCTTCAGACAAGCGCTGGCTCTACGGCTTGAAAAACGGGATGACACAGTCGGACACAACTAGACTAAAAATGTCAAGGGGAACCTTTACCTTTTTTTACCTTCTTGGAAACTGGTAGATTAGACCCTGGCAGGGAAAGGCAGGGGAGCAAATCAAGCCAGATTGTTAACCAGGATGCAGGTAAAATTATACCCAGCAAAACCCCACCAACATGGGAAGACCTTGTCAACGGGGCAAACAGGGTTCCCAGCAAAACAAGGGCAAGGAAGCTTAGACCCTGAGCCAAGTGCCATCCTCCCACGAGCTGAGTTTGGTCCCCTCGTGTTCTTCACAGGGCTATACTGCCACTCCCAGTGACACCAGTAGCTGATAGATTCCCAGAGTCTATTTAGCTCTCTTCCCATTCCAGAAGGAACTTCCATATCCCCTCCAAAGTGTTGATTCCTGGAAACTAAGAGAGCTTTAAGGAGGGAGAAAAAATAATGCTGGTGCTTTTGGCTCCACCCTCTTTGCGTTTGGCTCCACCCACCACAGGAATCCAGGCTTGAAAGGTCTTTGAAATTGACTTAGCCCTCACCCATGCAGCGGAGAACCTTCGAAAACAGGTCAGGAGTGATCCACTGAATTTCACCAGTGCTTGGATAAGTTAGTTTTTTAGAAGACAAATCCCAGAACCTCCCAGGCAATATAGCCAATGGCTTTGACTAAGCTGGGGATCTGGGGAACTCTTAATTTCCCCAAGCTCTGCGGATGGACATCTTCTATCAGTCGCGCGTTTTGGATGGAATCTGAAACATTCAGTTGTTCCTTTCCATCTCTGACCAAGTTTGGCCTAACAAAGACCAATAGTTAGGTTATTTATAAAAAGAGGACTTGGGAACTCAAAGCTACATGAAGCGGAGAAGGGCTTATAGGAAAAGGCAGGGTTAAAAACCAGTGGGCAGCGAGAGACATGGGGAAAAGAGGCAGTGGGAACTGATACAAAGAGAGCCATAGAAACCGCCAAACCAGGACCCACTGATCACAGGGCAGGGGGCTCTCCAGATGTTGTTGGACTCCACATCCTATCAGCCCCAGTTAGCAGAGTTCATTGTCAGGAACGACGGGGATTATGGTTCAACCATTTCTGGAGGATCAAAGATTTTCCCTCTCTGGTCTAATTTGTGAGCCTCACAGTTGGTTGGCTTTTTTTTTCTTTTTCCTTGCCTGCAACCATGAGGACTGGAACCGTCAAAACGTGATTACTCGAAGCAAAATTAGGGGGCGGGGGGGGGATAACATTTGTTTGTTTTGCCTGACTCTTCCAACTTTAATCTCTCAAGTCTCTCTTCCTCTTCTCCCTCTTCCTTGGGCGCACATGCACACACACATAAACAGAGAGAGAGAGAGAGGAGAGAAAGTTCTTTCCATCACTACCTACAGCCCCACCCCTAGCAAGGCCAGCCTCTCCCTCCCTCCCTAATAGGATGGAGCAACCCTTAGGACCGATCTGGCCACAGGATCTCCTCTTCAAACTCTACAATCCTGGCCCCGTTCATCAAGCATGTCGGAACAAGTCTTTCTTGTACAAAGAACCCCGGGCTGGGAACGGCTGCCCAAGTAAAAGGCGTTTGTGAGGTTCTGACACTCATGTCTCCGTTGTCTCTTGCCTGGACATCTGGCAGGATCTGGAGAAAGATCCCTTACCGTGTCCCAGATCTGCAGCTTGATCTTTTTGCCATCGATGCTGACCATCCGCGACCCGAATTCCACACCTGGGTTAAAGAGAAAGAAGAAAAGGACGCAGTTTGGAAAGCGATGAACCAGAAGGGGCCGGCTACTTTTTATTGTACTAATGGATGGTTCTGGGCCAGCTGGAACCCCCCAGTGAGTTTACATCTAGTGGAATTTAGGCTTTTAAAATGAAATAAACTAAAAAAAATATTCTCTCCTAGTTTCCTCCTGGTTGGCAGGTTCTGATGATATGCCTCTTGAGAAAAGGGTCCTGTCCATTTTTATCTATTATTTATTTCTTTACTTTCTCTACCACCCCATTTGTGCTAAAGGAGGAATGTTTTTCAGCTGTCTTCTAAAAAAAAAACAACACCAGGGAGGCAGCCAGGCATCACTCCTCTGGGAGCTGATTCCGTAAGGTCGGTGCCACCACGGAGAAGGCCCTGCCTCGTGTGGATGTTATTTGGACCTCCCTCGGGGTGGCAACATGGAGGAACTTAATCTGGGAAGATCTGGCAGGTCGGGCAGATGGCACTGGGGAAAGATGCTCTGATGAGTAACGTGGTCCCAAACCATGGGGGGACTTTGTACATGGGTGTCAAAGCCTTGAACTTGATCCGTTACATTTTGTGGTGTGTACCTTGGCAATTCCAGGCCACTCTGCTGACAGTGCTGTTGTAACAAACATCTCCCTACAGCAAGAGAACCCCCACCCTGCTGTGTTCCCACTCCGCATCTTCTGTATGTTGTCCCTCAACGCCCAATGCACACCGTGGCAACACCCAAGGAGCATTCCCACCCACCCATTCACCCCAGCTCTCACCGACTGTCAAGTCATGGATGGCCGTGAATCGCTTATCCGTGAACTGTAGCAAGAGGCATGATTTCCCAACGCCTTTGGAAAAAAAAAAGCCAACAAGAGAAAATCACGACCTCTTGTGCTAGAAGAAATGGCCATCTGTGAGAGAAGGAAAACCACACAGGTCCCTCCCCCAGCATATGTGCATTCTTAATAGCCAGAACGTACATGAAAGTAAGTGCCCCATAGTTTCATCGAATTTGCTCTCATCTTTGCCTGTTCATGACAGCACCTAAGTCATCAAATCACAGGGCCGCAAGATTTTCTTTATATACAGTATTTCTGCCAGGCTTTGACTACAAATGCCACTGCAGAGGCTCCAGCAAGCTAACCAACTTTCAATCAATCAATCAATCAATCAATCAATCAATCAATCAATCAATCAATCAATCAATCAATCAATCTATCTATCTATCTATCTATCAATCTATCAATCTATCAATCTATCAATCTGTCTATCTATCTATCTATCTATCTATCTATCTATCTATCTATCTATCTATCTATCTAATCAAATAACAAATCTTTACAATTTTAAAAATCATTAAAGAAGTATCATATTAAAAAGCAAAATAAGTACGATTATTAAAAAGAACAGAAAAACACAGAATAAAATGTTTCTTTGGTCAAACCAGTCATTTAAAGGAACGTCTGCCTGAAGAGAAAGGTCTTTGTCTGCTTGTGGAAGGACAGCAAAGAAGGAGCCAGCCTGGCCTCCAGTGGGAGGGAGTTCCAAAGTCCATGAGCCGCGACAGGGAAGGCCCTCTCCTGTGTCTCCAGCAAGTGCACCTGTGAAGGTGTTAGGACAAGAGATGTCCTCTCCTGGTGATCTTAATACCCGAGCAGGCTCATAAAGTGAGATGCGGTCCTTGGGATAAAGCCCTAGAAAGGGCGTCCAGATCTATCCCACACATCAAGCAACATCAGAGTATCCATATATTTTCCTCAAAGGGCTAAAGGCAGAAGGAGCCCCTGATGTTTTCCCAGAGGCAGTGAATCCCATAGGCTCAGCAGTGCCCCCACCCCAGCTTACATGCCGCATGTCTGAGCCACTGAGAGGTACAAAGGTATGTCGTGTGATCACCCTGTTTTCTATCTGCCTCAGAGTCTTTGAGCATCACGGCAGACAGAAGCAATTTTGCACTTCCAATTGGGATTGTTCGTCCTTTGAAAACAGAGAATCACAGTTAACGTCCTTTTGCTGGCCTAGGGAACCATTCAGGGTGAAATCCATTAAGCCCATTTTGAAAGTCTCCAGACCTTTCTTCGCTGCTTAATTTTACACACACATCAAGTCCCATTCCACCTAGGTTTTTTTCTAATGGCATACCTGACAAAGACCCCTGTGAATTTTAAAATGTGCATAGATTTTTGGTTAGCCTAATGAAGATATTAATATAATTGCAGATGATGGGGAATCGTCGTGTGTTTCAGCACAGACACCCTGGTTCTTGAATGATGAACACAGTGCTCAGAACATAGTTTAGCTCCTAAATAGCTAATTATGACCCTCTGTGGAAACAGAGATCAGAACCTGATTATAGGGGAGAAATTGGAAATATTTAATCCTTCCATTCCCATACAGGTTCTTACCATTGGTGATGCCGGGTGGAGCTGAAATGCAGAAGGAAATCATCTGGAAGGGGAAGGTTCTTCACACCTAATTTGAAGGCTGTACCACAAGCAGCCTGCCTAAGAAAGGCACATTCACTTAAGTATAGTCTCCAAATCATGTCACGAACCAGTTCTCCTCTATTCGACACAAGTTAGACCTCATCTAGAGTGCGGTGTTCAGTCTTCAATAGTGTACTTTAAGATGGATGCAAAAAAAAAACTGGAACAAGTTCAGGGGAGGGCAACAAGGATGATCAGGGGACTGGAAACCAAGCCCTGGGAGAAAAGACTGAAAGAACTGGGCATGTTTAGCCTTGAGAAAAGAAGATTGAGGGGAAATACAATAGCACTTTTCAAATACAGAGGAAAGGAAGAATCTCTTCTCAATCATCTCAGAGTGCAGGACAGGTAATAATGGGCAGGAAGCCAAGTTTAGACTGATTATCAGGGGGAAAAAACAACTTAACTGTTAGAGCAGTACGACAATGGAACCAATGCCCTGAGATGGAGAATGCTCCAGCACTGGAGGCATACAAGAGAAAATTGGACAACCATCACTCAGATCTGCTTTGATTTGGATTCCTGCTTTGAGCAAGAGGTTGGTCTTGATGGCCTCATAGGCCCCTTCCAACTCAACTATTCTGTGGTTCTATGAACTCCGCCTTAGCATCAAGAATGACTATCTGAGAAGAAAGAACCGTAGAGATCAAAAAGATTTGAAGCGTACAAAAACCAAACCACAGGCTAGAAAACTTGCTGTACCATTGGGGACGACAGCGACAATAACAATCATTTTTTGTCTGTCTGTTTCACTTCTCTGTTTTGAATAGCAGAAGAGAAACAGACCTTTTAAAGTCCTCTAATGTGGAAGTGTACACGGACGTCTTCGCTGACGTTAAGGACAATCAGCAGCATTACTGAATGGCGCTTTGTGCTCTCTGTGGGATAGATACCGGATATACAAACCACTGCAGGGACTTGTAAGAGGATTATATGAAAGAAAACACTTGGCTAGGGTACTTCTCATGATTGTGTTGCATGCAGGAAGAATCCCTAACAGAAATAAGTGCAAAGGGACATGGAGGTTGACCCTAGATGTAACTGAAAATCTTCCTGTGGTTTCTTCTACTTCACGATTCACATCACAAGCCTGTGAAGGATTAACAGAGGAAAGATCAGATGTCGAAACAGGGCCTTTTCAGTCATGGCCACCTTGTGGAACCCATTCCCTGTGTCTGTTCCCGAGTACAACTCTGGTTGTTTGTTTTTATAAGAAACCAAAATGGTCTTTTTCACCTCTTTTTTTAAGCTAATAAATATTAAACTACCCTAACGACGACAGAATGCACCAATACTTCTAAATTCTAATTTGTGACTGCGTTTTTCTTACTTTCAGATCCACCTGAGTGTCAATAGAAATAGCTTTGTATTTCAGCCATGTCAGATGTCTTGGAGGATCAGAAGCAGAGAGAAAAGGTGGAAAAGACTAATGAGTTTCCCTTTTATGCTTCAGGCTCACTCTCCTACCCATATTATCTTTCCACAAACAAGCAAAGACCTTTCTCTTCAGACAAGTTTTCCCTCAGTGCCCAGCTGCCTTGGATGGGATTTTTAAATGGATTATTGTGCCTTGTGGCTTTGCATGTGTTTGGATGTCACTTCTGGTTACCATTTCTCAGAATGGCGTCCGTTTGATCCTTTTAAATATTTGTGTATTTATTGTTTTTAGCTTCAAATATTGTCTTTTAATTAATGTAAGCGGCCTTTGTGTATGGTGGGTGCATGTTTGGCCTGGAATAAGGTGAAGAACCAGAGAGCGAGAGAGCGAGAGAGCAAGGACACTAAGATGGCGGCCAACAAGACCAGAGGGACGGTGGGACTTTGCATTTCTGGCTATAAGCCCATATTGTGAGAAATTCAACTCTTGAACTGTGAACTTTTTGAACTATGCTTTTAGCAAGCTGACAAAAACCATCTGCTGCTGATTGAAGGAGTGGAGCAAACTCGGGGATTAAGGAGAGACCCTGGTACAGGGATCCTCCTGAGCAAGCAGATTCCACATCTGTCCACGAGTGATGGAAGACCCACTAAGTGTAACTAAAAGCATTCCACAATAGGTGATAAGGAGCATATATCGAGGGGAAAAGAAAGACGCATCTAATGCGCATGCCCAGCTAGCGACCTGTCCATAAAGAATATAAAAGGAGGGCTCCGGGCAACCATAATTTGTCTGCTGAGACCAAAGAACTAACTACTTTCTTTGGAACTTGGACGATGCAAATCAAGAATTCTTCTCTCTTTGGTGAGTATGTACAGGCGTACCTTGGTTTACGAAATTAATTATGTCATGCGGAAATTTCGTAAACCGATACACGTTCTGGGGGGAAACCCTTTCGTACAGTGGGGGGGGAGAGAGAACATAAACCAGGGCATTATTTTCTAAGGATTTTGGTTCGTAAACTGAAAACCGAAGCTTTCATAAAGCGAGGTACGCCTTTATGTACCGTATGTGGTGTGAATGTGTTGAATGCCTGAGACCCCTTTTATTAGAATTGTAATCAATAGGTAATAAAAGTATATTCATTTTGCATTCATCCACACGTCTTGTTGAGGTCCTTTGCTGTTTATATGTATTGTATCGTCCTTCTTGGGATACAGTAGTCCCCTTTTTGTGACATTTGTTGTACACACTTCCCCCCCCCCCCAGTTTTATATATTGTCTTTCAATGACGTTAAGCTGCCTGGGGGGGGGATCCTTTTGTCAAAGAGAAAGCCAGGGTCAAAACAGAATATTTTAAATCAATAAAGAAAATAAATGTATTCGGACTCTTAAACTCGTGGAGTTCAAAGCACGTCCTTTCCAGCCAAGGCGGGCAGGGGGGACCCCCTCAAGGTTTCCGTTACCCACGAAATGGGAGCGCCCGGTCCTCCCTCACAGGGCTGTTGTGCCATGGATCCCCGCTCTAACGTTTTTTTCAACCGTTAGGGAGGGGGGGTGGCGGCAAGGGAGGAGGCATCACGTGACCCTCCCACAAAACCTCCCCTAAACCCCCCCATCACTCCCCCCCTCCTCTACCAGTGTCCCCGATGATGAGGTATTTGAAGAGGTAAGCGTAGGACATGGCTCTGAAGCCCGCCTTCCACCCCAGCTGGGCGTTCCTCCAGAGGCTGCTCTAGCCCACGCCCTAGCAACCGTCTCTACTGCTCTCGAGCTTCCCGTGCCAAGTTACTCCCATTACGTATTAGCCTTTCTTTCCTTTCCTCCACTAGAGGCCGCTAAACTCAAGGGAGGGAAAAAACACACAACATAAACCGCTCTGGCCGCCTCTTCTTCATGGCCGCATTTCCGGCGCCACTCTAGGCAGCGGAGAAAGGGACACCTCGGCATCCTTCCTTTTCCATCCAACCCTTCCCTCGCCGGGAGCCGTTGGGCTTCGGCGGACGCGGCGCCGTGACGTCATATCCGGACGACGCAGAGCCGTTCCGAAACTCGGCCCTTTCCTCCCCCCCACCCTCCCGTCTTCGTCCTAGAGCCGCTCTAGTTGTTCTACTGCTCCGCAGGGCGCTCTGGCCGCCCGCGAGCCGCCTCTCGGTCGCCTCAACGGTCCGGGCGAGGACGTTGAGGAAGAAGCCAGGCTTTCCCCGCGGCGTGAAACATTAGCCTCCCTCTCCTTCCCGCCACATTTTCCTCCCATTTAGCGCAACCCCCCCCCTCACACAACGGTTAGGCCCAGCGAGCCCAACTCCGGGCGGAAGTGACGCGCCTCGCCGGCCCGAAGTTGGGGAGGAGGAAGAGACTTCCGCCTCCGGTCGAGGAGCTGGGGGAAGAAAGGAGAAGGCGAAGGAGGTGGGAGGGGGAGCGTGGCGGCGGGGTCTCCCCCCTCGCTTCGTTGAGGTCGCTTCGCCCGTGGCCATGGAGGTGAGAGGGCTCGGGGGGGGAGGGGAGTGGACTCCGTCTGGAGGGGAGGATGATGATGGAGGAAGCCTATAGAGGCGAGGAGGGAGTGGGGGAGCCATGGTGGGATTCTCTTCCCCCCCATAGTATGGCTGGTTATAGCAAGGAAAGGCTTTCAGGCGAAGGGCGATCTCTCTCTTGTCGCTTTGACTCGTGTTCTTCGTGTCGTGGGAAGCGCCTGGATACAGGGTGTACAGGGAGGGAGGGAAGGACCAAGCATGGGATCTGTGGCTAAACGGTTGTGCCCCCCTCCCACCCACGAGAAGAGGCGGTGAGCCCCATCCTGGGCTGGGGAGGGATCTCTCCATGTGTAGCCCCCCCCAGCTGATCTCAGACTTTTAACTCCCCAGGAGCCTTAGCAAGATTGGGCAAGGGATCTCCCTGGAGGAAGGAATCGGGGATCTCGAAAGCCACTGTTTGAGAAGCCCCCCCCCCCCGATCTCCTCCTACTCCTGAGTCTAGACTGTAAATCTCATCCGCTCCAGTTGCTCTATAGAGAGTTTGTTGGAGAGTCTGGGAGGTGTGTAATATTACAGTCCCCAGATACACCATGTGGTATGGTGGATACAGTGATGGACGAAGGTTCTGGAGGCCAGAGGTTTGAATCCTCGCTCAGCCATGGACACTCACTGGGAGGGAGTGGAACTGGTAAAAACCACTCCTTAAATATTTCACTTACCTTGAAAGCCCTATTAGGATTGCTGCAAGTTGGTTCCGATTTGACATCATGAAACACACACACACAATCAGAATGATCCTAGTTGATCACCTTGATCACCTGAATGGCCACCCTAAGACACAGGCCTACGGCTTTCTGATTTTCAACAATGTTCTCCCCCCCTCACACGTCCCCAGACCTGGGTTGTGAGACAGTTGGAACAGCCAGGAGGGGGAGATTTAGGGACCTGAAATGAAAGAAGCAAAGGGGTGCAGTGGGTGGAGGCTGAGGAGAGAGATTTGCTGGAAGAAGGGCATACTGTATGTAGTAAAGCAGCTCAAAGTTATAGGTAAGAGGTGCAAGAGGGTTGGAAAATATCTTGATGGAACGGGTCTTATTAAGGTCATATTGGGGATTATACTGGAATTAGATGTGTTTGAGGTGACTGGTATAGTGGTACAGGATGTTGTAGAGAGGGGTAAGATGTTGGGTGATGGAACAAGGCCATATATGTTTGGTTGTTTATTCATTTATGAAGTGCTTGCGGCTGAGGGACATGGTGCTGCTGCAGGTTAAATCGCAGAAGCCTCTGTGCTGCAGGGTCGGAAGACATCTGTTGTAAGATCGAATCCACGCAACAGAGGGAGCTCTCGTTGCTTTGTCCCAGCTCCTGCCACCCTAGCAGTTCGAAAGCATGCAAATGCGAGTAGATAAATAGGTACCACCTCGGTGGGAAGGTAATGGCATTCTGTGTCTAGTCGCGCTGGCCACGTGACCACGGAAACAGTCTTTGGACAAACGGTGGAAACAGGGATGAGCACAGCGCCCTAGAGTCGTACACGACTGAACTAAATGTCAAGGGGAACCTTTACCTTCCACAGCTGATAGTCTCATAGTGTTGTACATACGATATGGAACAGTACCTGCAAGCCATGACAAGGTGCTGACCTCACATTAAGGCACAGCTTCCATGATTCTTCTTCTGAGGACATACCTATTCAAAAAGATTCCTCCTGTCATTAGTGTTTAGTATCGACGTAAAATACGAAGGCTGAATTATATTGAGAAAGTGTGTCAAAAATAAGAAGAACTGCTGGATAGTTTGAAGGACTAGTCCTCTGGCTGTGGAGCTAGTGGGTGGGAGTTTGCTTTCCCACTGTGTGTCTTTGACAAAGGCGGCACTCAATAGGGTCCTTTCCAGCTTCACATCTCTAAGATGTGGTATATGTAGGATGTATTAAGAGGCAAAAGTGTTGGAACTGTCCGAAAATAATTGGTGGGTCTAGTGAGAGTACTCCATAGAGGGGTTACTACCGTCCGCCATCTTGTTAATCTATCAGTCTAACGTTGACCTTAAGAGGTGAACAGGAGTGTAAGGGAGAAGGTGGTACAATGGGGCTGGGATATGATTACTGTATTCTTATCAGAAAACAGTGCAAGGGTTGTGAAATTCATTTGGATGCACAAAGTTGAAATTTAAAAGGTTGAATGGAGGGCCCAGGAAATGTCTGGCCCTGTAGGCAACACCCATCAGCCCCAACTAGTCTTCTTATGGTGTCGGTAAATATATCCTGAATTGGTTAAAGTGAGTATTTTGAAAATGACTAGGAAAGGTCTGGTTGATGTGTGAAGCTGGAACACCAGACGGTTTTCTAAGCCAGTAGATTTAAGATAGTTCTATGTGTAGAATGTGTAGGGCATGGTGCAGGGTCTTCTTAATAGTTAATTAGAATTCACTTCCTTATATGTGCTGTCTTCCACTTACAGCATGCAAAGCCAATTTCAGGACATTTCAGTCTTCTGGGATACCCTATAAATGTCCTGCAAGTGACTGTGATAGAGAAGAATCTGCAAAAAATGAGAGTCAATTGAGATAAAATCTATCCATGTGTTCCAGAGTGCATCCAAAGGATTAAATATTGACCAAGGCTTCTTAGCTCGCTATTGGTTTAAATATATATGTATTTTAATCCACAGTTCCCCCTACAATCTTCTGTAGGGATTACTGGTGCCAAACGTTTGGAGCTTCAGATGCTTTGGACTACAACTCCCACAGTCCTTTATCACTGGCAAAAAAAAAAAAAAGATTGGGAAGTCTGAGAGTTGAAATCCAAAGCATCCAGAGTGCCAGAAGTTTGTCACCCTTTGGACTAGATTCCGAGAACTGACCAACTACTGCTTGATTGTCCAGGATAATAGACTCTTCCAGAGTTGATCTTTGACTGAGGCTCCAACACACCTCAGTGGAAATGTAGGGCTTTCAATGGAAACCAATGTTCTGTCTGTAAATTATTTGTAACAAGAGTGCTCTTGTTACACCTTATTAATCCATCTCCTGTGCCTACCCATATATATCACTTGCGGTTTTGCTCCATTCTGATATGTCTGAAGAAGTGGATGTATACATACACTGTGAAATATAGCTGCCTCTAAGAGGCCACTACGCTTTTGGTAATCCATGGGGGTTCCTTCCAGCTCAGCAGTTCTAATTATTTGCCTGTTTTGTTTTAATTTTTGTCTGAATATGTCTTCTCCTGACCATGGATTATCCCTCTGTGACCTTTCATGATACTACTAGCCATTTTGAACAAATGATGTTTCTCCTAACTGCGCAGTCTTGTTTACATGCTGCTTTCTGCCAGGGATTATATATTGCACTTCTCCCTTGCTGCTTGTTTGTGGTGAAAATGCTCAATTTTCCAACAGAACACTTGTAAACACCAACTGAACGCCTGCAAACGTATCAGTTCCTTTCTAAGGAAATGTGGGCTTTTGGTTTTTATCATGATGGGACTCCTTGACAGAGTGGTTGTTGGTACATAATATATAAATGTAGAGGAACCATTGCCAAAAGTATCTGCAGCCTTCTTCCTTGTCTCCAGCTACAATTCAAAGCAATGTCTCTCTCAGCCTTTGGTCTTCCTTCCTGATGTTGCCTCCTAGAAACCATTGGAGGTTGAAGGCCAAAAGTTGAGAAACATTGTATCAAGGCAGTGGTTTCCAACTTTGAATCCCCAGATCTTCTCGGACTGAAACTCCCAGAAGCCTTCACCACTAGCTGTGCTGGCCAGGATTTCTGGGAGTTCTAGCTGAACAACATCTGGGGACCCAAGGTTGGATACCACGTCCTTAGTCCAAGACAGAACTTAGGGATGGCAGTATTTTCTGGGCACTTAAGATACTCTCAGGATTCCCCATCAGCTATATTCTTTGCTGTCTATTCCTTTAAGATGATGTTACTGCAGATACATTGGGATACATTCGTTCCTATCCTTGGGTCACCAGATGCTAAGATCCTCTTAGGGTCTTCAGTACCTTTCCTCATTCCTTAAGACCCCCCCCCAACAAAGAAATCACTCACAGGTGCCTCATTGCCCCCAGGATTTTCATTTTTACCCCATTTGGGGTAATTTACCCCTGTTCCCTGACCACTGTCTTAGGGTCTTGAGTACCTTTCCTCATTCCTTAAGAACTCTCTGGAACAAAGAAATCACTCACAGGTGATGGTAAATTGTTGGGTAGGATATGCTTGTACCATCATTATGATGACATGTGTTCCCTTTAGCGCTAGGAAGGGATTTCCCCCATCCGAATGTTAGTTACTTACTTTGCGCATGCATGTTCTGTTGGAGCTTGGTTTGTGTGAGTCATGTGGAGTTGTTGGACACTCGAGTCCTGCACACAATCTGTGTTCTTCAGCCGGATCTACATTTGTCTAGACTGCACTCTGAACTCTGTGTGTGTGTGTGTGTGTGTGTGTGTGAGAGAGAGAGAGAGAGAGAGAGATGTCTTGTGCCTTTCTTGGATGGGAAGCAGCTGGAATCCATGAAGCACGGATCCTTCCATTCCTAAGTCTCACCGTATGAGATTCATGGTGTATCAACCTCATCCTTTGTCATCCCCTCCACAGGCTGCCCATGTTTATCCCGGACTAGTGTTGCACTGGAGGGTGTGGGTGAATCTTGCCCAATGCAATAATTTCTGAAGGAGTGTGTTTGAAGTGATGTTGTCTATTTGTAGGAACACAAAATGGTGTGCCAGGGGAGTCTGGGTTTAGGTAGAGGTCCAAGCACCACTGGATTTGTCAAGATTACAAGGTCTCTGAAGATACGGTTTTCAGCCTGACTTCCTAGAAACCATCACCAGCCTAGCCAGTGGGCAGGGTTATTCCTTCCTTACTGCACCCAAGCAGTAATTAGAGGGCCATTGTGTGGAGCTCAAGACTGTGTGAAGTAGTGGGAACATTAAGTACATCCAGAAATATGTATATATACCGTATTTTTCCATGTATACGACTATACTTTTGTCTAAAATCTTTAAACTAAAAATTGAGGGTCGTCTTATACACGGAACTAAGCTGAGGAGAGAACAAAAACGAGTGGAGGGGAAAAGCAGGGATCAAAGCAATCCTTCAGCGCTTTGATCCCTTTCCCCCCTACACTTGCTAAGCCCCACTTAGATTTCTTAATTATGGATTAGAAAAGTGGGGGGGGCATTTTATACATGAGGGCATCTTATACACGGAAAAATACGGTATCTCTCTCTGTAGGTTCGTGCCTTCCACCCTGTGTAACCCATTTATTTCTTTGCGAGAGGAGGGCCTTTGTGTGGTTGCTAGCCCTTTTCAACATACTTTCTTCCATTCCTTCATCCATGAGACCGGGTGGTGTCTTGGTTAGAGCAGGGGGTGGGCGAAACCCAGCCCCCCCCCAAGATAGGGTTGGACTCCCAGCATTCCTTATACGGGCTGGGGTTGATGGGAATTGCAGTCCTCCAACCTCTGGAGGGCCATGCTTTGCCCACCCCAGGCACTTGTGAGATCTGGGTTTAAGCCCCCACCGAGCCCCAAAACCCACCGAGGGGCCTCGGGACTGGTCTCCCCTTCAGGCGGATCACCCTCTGTGGGTGAAGGAGAATGACAAAATGGTGGCCAGTGTGGTGGAATCAGGGCTAGAAGACTCGGATCTTCATAGGAGCTTTATCCCTGGCTTGAATGGAGCTTGTGGGGGACACGGGAGACTGTGGCAGGAGTGACCTTTCCTTTCAGAATGTTCCTTCACTCTTAAGTTTTCCCCGGTGTGGCCAAGCCATCTTGTGCGGAGATCTGTGATAGAAGATGGGATCTGGCGATGCAGGCAGAGGTCTGTTGTAGATGACCGGTGGTCACCTTTTCACATCAACCTAGAGCAGGGGACTTCATTCATAGCCTTCTTTTTAAAAACGTTTTGCTTAGGGACACAAAGACCTTGACCGAAGGTGGGTGGGTGGGTGGTATTAATTTATTGGACCGCGGTTCCCAGAATTTTCCACGATGGAGCAGGATCAACAGCCCTGTTGGCTTGGGGAAATAATCCTGGGAGTTGTACATCAATAAAGTCGCATCCCAGTCGGTGTCACTGACTTTTAAATTAGTAGTAGTCTGAACCAGCCAGAGCTCGATAGCATTTAGAACAATCTCATCAAACCGGAGCCTTCCAGAGGGATGGGACTACAGTTCCCAGTATCCCCCAGCCAGTGTGGCCGAACGGGTTGCGTTCTAGGCCTCTGGAGGCGCTCAGCTGTGGACATCTCTAGTTTATGTCTCAAATGAAGCTGAAGAAGCCTTGACTTGGACTTCTCCAATTGACCACAAAGCTTCATAAACGATGCCAGGAGCCCCGGTTGCTACCTCGCAGGGCTGTTGTGTAGAGAACGCAGGGTAGAGGTACAAAAATGGTACCTGCTGGTTGAGCTGCTTGGAGGAAGGGCAAGAGAAGGAAAAAAATTGAGTTAAAGATTCAGCCCACTATCTGGGCTGAATCGACTACGAAGGCAAATTCGACTACGAAGGCAAATTTGTCCAGATGTATTTAATGTTCTGTGAGTCCATATGGGTGGAGGGTTTTTTGGGGGGTGGGACACACAATACAGAAGTAGCAATGCTAATGGCTCCCCTTCTCTCCTAAAGTTCCCTGGAGGAAACGAGAATTACCTGGCGATCACGGGGGCGACTCATCCCTTTTTGTCGGGGGCCGAGGTGAGATGGGGCGACTGCCGGGATTTTCCCAGGGGATGTGGGCAGGTTGGGTGGCGATCACGGAGGGTGAGATCTGTAGGGCGTCAGGTTGAACAACAGAGGCCAGGGACGCGTCTGCCCTTTCCAACACGGTGGCAGAGTACGCGGTTTGCGGGCGGATTGTCCCGGTCCAGTCCCGGATGTTTTACGTTCAGAAAAATTAGGTTGTAGGCCTGAAACGCGAAAGTTTTTTAAAATACAGTGGTGCCTCGCTAGACGATGATAATCCGTTCAGAAAAATTAGGTTGTAGGCCTGAAACGTGGAAGTTTTTTAAAATAATGATTCTTATTATAGTTTACAGCGTCTTTAAAAGGCAACCTTTTGTCTTGTGACAATCAAAAAAATTGTCATGCGGGGTAACTGTCTCTCGAGGCACCACTGTAATGATTCTTATTATAGGTTACAGTGTCTTTAAAAGGCAACTTTTTGTCTTGTGACAACATTTAAAAAGTCACTTGTTAACATTAAATGTTTTACTCATCCATTTTGGTGTAAGTTTTTTTTTTTAGTCCCAAGGCTGCGGTGGACCCTTTTGTGTCCTTCCACACATTGCTTGGTGGCAATTCCGAGCATTTGTTGTTCTCGGTTACTGCTTAGGACTGATGGGAGTTGTAGTCCGGCCGCCACTGGAGAGTCACTCCTGCAACGCCCGTGTCAAATGTATGCCCAGTATCAGAGGGCATTTAGGATAAAGCTCATTCTTCTGACAGAACTGAGCCCCTCTGGAGAACATCCATTATAGTCTGACAGAATTAGATGCCTCTTTTGTGTAGCTTTTGTGCTTAATTTAGAGGCTCCTCGTAATCAGGAGCCTTATCCAGTGGTTCCCAACCTTGGTCCCCCCAATGTTCTTGCACTGCATCTCCCCCAAAATCCTGGCCAGCACACCTAGTGGTGAAGCTAAACACAGTTTTATTTAGTTTCTGTAGGAATCCGTCTCTAAAAAGCTGCTTCTAATCAGACTAAGGCAACACTGGGGAAGAGGGATATTTGCGTTGCGTTGCAGAAGCTTCCTGGCTTTTTGTGTATCTGAGCTTCGTTTTTCTCTCTCTCTCTTCCCGTCGCCTTCAGACGTTCCACACGCCAAGCCTGGGAGATGAAGAGTTCGAAATCCCGCCCATCGCGCTGGACGCCGACCCATCCCTCGCGGTGGCTGATGTTGTCGGTCACTTTGATGACCTGGGGGACCCTGTGACAGCCCGAGATGCTACTTTCTCAGCCCAGTATGGGGTGCAGGCACTTGACATCCCTGTGGGAATTAGCCACGGCCTCATGGAGCAAGGAGGCGGGCTGCTGAGTGGTGGGCTGGCCATGGTAAGTCCGGGGGTGTCGTCCTCGCTCTGAAAGGAAGGTAGTATGAGCCCAAAGATGTTTTGAGGGGATGGGGTATCGGTGTGATTAGAGAGATGCTAGCCTGCTACTTCTTGAGGGGTTCTTCTAGATTCCCCTTGGCCATCATGGTATCTTTTCTCCGTGCATCATTTCTGACCATTGACTAAACTGGACAGAGTTGACTGGAGTCTCAAAAGTCTAGAAATCACAGTGGGTGGGAAGTGATTCAATCTGGAGGGTCGCCTTCCATCAGCCCTGTCTCCTTGTGTTGATTTTCACCCAAAAAGGGGAGAGCTTGGAAGCCTCCAGAGGTAGTGACTCTTTGAGACAAAGTTGAGCACAGGACTGATTGGCCAGTGCCCCGATGCAGAGCAGTTCACTGGTTTTGCTATTGATCCACTTATAGGACATTTCCAAAGTGGCAGCCGTGCTAACCTTTTCCAACAAAAACAGTAAAGAGTAGTTTAAAGGCCAGCAAATTTTGTGTAGCATTGGTTTTTGTGGACTGCAGCTCAGTTCCTCAGATGCAGTCAGCAGAATCAAACTTATTTGTCTTTACGCCACAACAATGGGGCACAGCAGTTTAGGAGTGCTGGACTGAGACTCAGGCAGGGGTCTCTCCTGAGCCATGAAACCCTCTGGATGTCAGTCCCCCTCTGTTTCTCAGGTCGACATGCCTATGGAGTCAAAAGTCTATTAAGTATTCTTAAGGGTATTTTTTTTCCCTAATAAGAAAATTATCTGTTTCAGTTAATAAGCAGATTCAGCTGGAGGTTGGCAATTCTTAGATACCCACAGGAATCATAATACAGTAGGATCCCCATATCTGCGGGATTGGTATTCGTGGTTTCACTTATCCACACTCTGAAAAGATTAAAAGAAAATTTGGGGGGGGGGTCATGTTCTCTGTGACCCGAGCCCTGAGGTCACACTAGCACCTAGATTTATAGGCGCTCACCTTTCTACCACCACCTATATGACCTGAGTTGCCACTTCCTGTCCCTTTCCTCTCCTCTTTTTCCAGGACTTGGATCACCCTATGGGGACTCAGTACAGCGCCAACCCCCCTGTCACCATCGACGTGCCTATGGCGGACATCAGCTCCAGCCTGATGGGACACGGCCAGCTCACCACCATCGACCAGTCGGAGCTCAGCTCTCAGCTCGGCCTCAGCCTGGGAGGCGGTGCCATCCTGCCCCCGGCCGCCCAGTCGCCCGAGGAGCGGCTCTCGCCCACCCCGTCGCCCGCCAGTTCCATGCACGAGGAAGAGCCGGAAGAGATCAGGAGGGTGAGTCTTGGCCCTTTGGCGATGGGGAGGGTGGAAAAGGCGCTGGGCCCAGAGCCATGGAACAGATCATAGCATAGAGAGTATGGCTTGGGTCCAAGCTATCTCCAGAACCATGTCTCCTTTTAGGAGCCTTGTTGTTTAGTCATTAAGTCGTGTCCGACTCTTCGTGACCCCATGGACCAGAGCACGCCAGGCCCTCCTGTCTTCCACTGCCTCCCGGAGTTGGGTCAAATTCATGTTGGTAGCTTCAGTGACACTTTCCAACCATCTCGTCCTCTGTCGTCCCCTTCTCCTCTTTCCCAACATCAGGGAAATGAGCCTACTCAAGTGTTAAGATCATGAGGGCAGGCCTTCCTCTCACCCCCCTTTTACTGGTGTATTTGGTGAGTACACAGGAGAGGGACTTCTCTGTGGCTACTGTCAGACTCTGGAACTCCTTGCCACAGGAAACCAGGCTGACCCCATCTTTGCTGTCCTTCTGCAAGGAGTTGAAAGACCTTTCTCTCCACCCAAGCTCTCCTTGAGTGACCAGCTATCTGAGTAGGGTTCTTAAGCAGTGTGTTCTGCCTTGTTGCTCGGAAGATGATTTTGGTGTTGTTTTCATTTCCTGTACAGTGGACCCTTGACTTACAGACGGCTTGACTTACAGACTTTTTGAGTTACAGACTTCTCTGGCTGCAAAATTTAGGTTTGACTTGCAGACTGAGATTTGACTTACAGACCAGAAAAAACTCAAAATGGAACAAAAACGGCCTGTTACGGGATTAATCGGTTTTCAATGCACTGTAGGTCAATGGAGACTTGACTTACAGACTTTTTGACTTGAGAACCGCCTTCCAATACGGATTAAGTTCTCAAGTCAAGACCCCACTTTAGTTCAGCATTCGTTTGATGCTTTTTAGTATTTGAATACTTACTGTTCTTACCTTTCAATGTTGTCTTTTAACGTTGCAAGCCGCCTTGGGACCTTTTTTTAAGGAAAAAGGGGGGGAAATATTTTAAATAAAGGAGCGATCTTGATGCATGAAAAAGAAAGGTGTCGCATGTGGGCATGCTCTTCTCAGGCGGTCTTCTTATGTTCCTTTTTTGATTTTCAGTGATGAAAGATGGGCATGAACTGCCGGTTTGGAGATTCATAGCAGTTCGTTCTTGGGATGCACAGTGGTCCGAGGGTGTCCCGGCTTGCCTCCCCCACCCCTTCCAGTGGGTGGCCACTCTGGGGCAGCGTCCTGGGCTTCCCTGTCCTGCCCCCCTCCTCTGGGAGGGTGCCTGCCAGAGGAGGTAGGAGAAGGAAGCCGGAGCCACCACAGAACCACCCGTGCGTCCAAAGAACGAACCACTATGTGCCCATCTCTCTTCATGATGAATAGGGCCTGTTTTCCCTGCCCTCGGTCACTGTCATTCTGGGATGAGGCCAATGCTCATCAGTTGATCTAAGACGTTCTGACTTGATGGCGCAGAAGTACTGTGCCCATTGCTCAGAGCACGTGCTGGATCCATGTGTTGATCACAGGAGTAGAGATCTAAAATTTCTGAACATTTCCATCTTTTCCAGAAATAAATGGGGGGGGGGGGAGAGAGAAACACTGTTTCATTTCAGGAAAAGAAGGAAATTTTTTGGAAATTTTACATCTCTAAGCAGGAGTGCATAAAAAGAATGGTGGCCTCCTCAGAGGCTATGGGCCAGCAGTGCCTAACGTCGCCCCAATCAGCATAGCTAGTGGGAAAGGATGATCAGGATTTTAATCTGGGGTGGTGGTGGAGAACTCCATGCATCGCACACAGGGGCTTACCAGGAAGCAGAGAACAAAACCTGTGCAGAGACATTTGAACTGTTGCAGTGGTCCACAATCTACAGAGCTTTCTGACCCTGTCTGTCGTCTCTTCCCATAGCAAGTCTCCATCGCTAAGCCGCTCCCGACAGCCTCGGCAGTGCCGACGCCAGCCGCGGCCCCCGCAGCGGTGGTGGTGGATGCTGGCAAGAAGCCAAAGCCCACCAAGAAGCAGAAGAAAAAGAAAGACCCCAACGAGCCCCAGAAGCCCGTCTCGGCTTATGCCCTGTTCTTCCGCGACACCCAGGCGGCCATCAAGGGGCAGAACCCCAAAGCCACCTTCGGGGAGGTCTCCAAGATTGTCGCCTCCATGTGGGACAGCTTGGGGGAGGAGCAGAAGCAGGTAGGTGCTGGAAGGGGGTGGTCTGGGGCTGGGGTTGAGCGAGGGAGAAGAACAGGCCATCTGGGAGGAGGAGATGAGGAGGAAGGGGAAACTGGGGAGACTGAGATGGGGGGGCTCAGGGGAAAACATGACCAAGATTTACAGCCAAAGGAGGGTGTAACGATCCACCCAGTGTTCCCTGTTTGTTTCCCTCAAACACAGGTACACATTCTGGATATGTTAATTCTTTCTTCTGCTACCACCAGTGGATCTCTCATCCACATTGCCCCGTATATGCATCAGACACATGCTGCTAATATACTGTATTTTTCCGTGTATACGACTATACTTTTGTCTAAAATCTTTAGACTAAAAATTGAGGGTTGTCTTATACACGGAAGTAAGTTGAGGAGAGAACAAAAATGAGTGGAGGGGGAAGCAGGGATCAAAGCAATCCTTCAGCGCTTTGATCCCTTTCCCCCTACACTTGTAAAGCCCCATTTAAGATTTCTTGATTTTGGGTTAGAAAAGTGGGGGGGTCTTATACATGGGGATGTCTTATACATGGAAAAATACGGTAAATTGTTTATTTATCTTTTGGTTTTTAATCACAGATGTTCTTTTATTATTGTTTAGGATCACTCATTAAACTTCTCATATTTGATTACACGTTTGCTTATTCAGGTGTTGTATTTACTTATTCACATTAACCCACTCATTAATATTCTCTGACTATCTATTTAGCTTTACTATTCCTTTTATCTCCTTCCCATTCTCTCTCTAACTCTCCAACTTTCCAATTCTCTCTTCTTAACTCGCCACCAACTCCTCTCTAGCTGCCTCCCTCTGTCCACCTGTCCCCTTGACCCCACCCCTCCTGTCTTCTCATAGGCTCCTGCCCTTGAGCTTCAGCTATGATTGACAGGAGGGGCATGGGCATTCCGCCACAGAGGGTTTTTATCCTTCGGTAGGAGGCATGGAGGACACAGGGCTCTCCAAATGTTG